CCCAAAAATAGAATTTATGTTTCGTCAGAATGCTTGAAGGTAATTATATTCGACCTTCGATGATCTTGTAAAAGAACTGGACACATCTCAAAGCGGCAAGGAAATTTTCGTTTTCTTAAATATTGAATAATCCCGTTATATAGCAAAAACAAACTCGCCTGAACTTCTTGTCCGCGCCGACCGACTCTCCAATCAAATCAGAAATGTCTAAAGCTAAACCAATCGGAAGTTCAATCTCAATCTAACCTGCCATGTACAATCAACTCGAACACGCATCATCCCTCGCGCGCGCGTCAAGAAAATGATTACGTGCCACAGCCAATGGAGGAAGAAGCGCGGGAGACATAAATTCACACTTCCCGCCTTTAATCTGAGGGTTCAGACAGTGTTGAATCGTCTGCGTCCTAATGGAAGCTGAAATTATTAAAGTTTATCCTATATGTGTTCATTTTGTATGTGCAATGTAACAAAAAGATGTCAGATTTTCTTTAGATGATACGACAGGGATTTGATAGTCTTTTTGTTACCTAAAGCACAATTTGAAACAATTATTATTTACAGAAAAAAGCACAATCAGCAATCAGTAATTTTGCTTTGACATATAACGAGGTGATAAAGAAAATATGCGATTCGTAGTTTGTAAAAAAATATTCATATTCTAGTTTCATTTTAGTTGCAAAGGTTTCTTAACTATAGAAAACAAAAACGTTTAATGATCCAAACCTAATAACATAGTTATGTCGTATTTTCACATATAGATACATGTAGGAAGGGATTTTGTAATTTATTTTTCATCGTCATCGAATCTACTTGGGATAATGAGAGTAAACTGAAAAAAACATTTTAATTTTGGCATACATATCATTATTGTATTATTCTTATCAACTATTTCAAAGTGCATGTGCACCGTAGTTCTAAAACCTTTAACTCGGGTTTGGGGTAAACATTCTAAGCTAGGATTTGTGAAGCTAGTTGCTTTACAGGTGAAACAAAATCTTACACGGGACTGAGCTTATCTTGAATTTAGCGGGACTTCCACATACAAACGAGGTGTTCCGTTGACTACACCGTGAAGAGGTTTCTTATGATAGCTGTTTGATGATAGTTCTGCGGGAGCAAACACAATTCCTTTCTTTTACTTTTTCATCGAATTTTATCTTATTTTATCGTATTAAGTTCGTTCGGAGAGGGCTTGATGATCTAAAAAATATATGTCAAGTATGACATTTATAATCGAGGTGTATTTCTTGAAATTGAAGTCTATTAAAAGTTGCTCATTTTAAATCATGTATTATGTAATAATTTAGGTAATTGATCTGTATTTTGCAGTGTGTATTTCTTTCCGGGCATGAACATTATCTTGAATGTATTTTTATCGGAATGACTATATTATCATATGCCTTTTATGATAAATCTGTATCAATTATTTTGAAAAATAAAAAATAAAATGTGCAAAATATCAATACTGTCCAATTTTCAACAACTTATTCAAAGTTCGAGTATTACAGTCTGCATTTCTATTCATGTTATTGATATTAGATTTATGAAGATATGTGCCATCATAACAGAGTTTTTTGATATTTTCTTGTCTGTTTGGAAAGCAAGATTCCATGCTAGGGATAAGAATTACAATGATTTCAACATGCTTTGGCTTCTAAAGTGTTGGCATCAGGTCTTGCTTGGCACATACTAAATGTCTAAACTCGTGAATAATGTGGTCATCTTTCATCGCTATTCTTGTTGTTTTCAATGAAGATCTGGCCAGCTGGACTAGTTATCCATGTTAGACTCGATTGGAAAGGAAACTCAGGAAAGACGCAATTATTTAATCAATCGCATGTAGAAATGTTTGTCGAAATAAAGAGGTGCTTTCGTACTCAACGGAGAGATGCGGTATTAATGAGCTATCTACTAGCTTCTGACATGTTAGATGAGTGCCAATTATTGGCTGTTGTTGGGTGAGAAGTAAATGAGGTATGGATGTGGTGATAATGATTATCGAAAAGTCATGGAAAGAGAAGGTTTACAATATAAAATCGTAATTTGAAGAGAAAACATATTAATAGTGATGATGTTTATGTCGAGAAGAATTTGAACGTTATTCTTTCAAAAGGCATTCGCTTGTTATAGTTTCTTGAAGTTATTCATGTGAATGCATTTCTAATGTCACAGATGTATGGGATTTTTAAAAGCACCTTAGGTTATGTTACGAGACAAATGATGTAGAAGACATATTTGATACTTTCCTAAATATGATTTTATTAAAAATAATCATAGCGGGAAGTAATTAGAAATAGTTAGAAGTAATGTTGAACCCCAACCAATCTTACACATATATTAACAGTTAAATCAACCTTTTCTCTATAGATATTTTGTCTGATTCGTGCTGTATGATGGTTATCTTGATCAGGAATACTCAAGCCGAAGATGTGGTCGTAACGTATGAGACAAAATAGCTTGTAAAAAAGGGAACATTATGACCACATAGCCACAGTGTTTTTGTCAATGAAAAATCTAAATTCGTAAAATGACGTCGTCACACGTTTTAAGAGAATGTTTCCCTTTGGGTCATGAATACAAACGAGCTACCATTGGTGTTGTTTCCATTATCCACACCAAAGCAATGTGATGACGATTATAACATTTTCGATTTTTTGAAGGTCCTAAGGGATGACTGTAAACCGAGAGAAAACACAACATAACACAAGCTAACAATACTATAAAGTGACCAACAACATGAATAAAAACTATTACAAGTAATGAGACTTACTAGAAACAAGCATGAAAAAAAAAAATCACCAAAGTTCGAATTGCTTGTACGTAATAAAGCGAAACAAGCATGAAAAAAAAAATCACCAAAGTTCGAATTGCTTGTACGTAATAAAGCGAAAATTAATGCTGCTTCGTTTATACTTCTGAAATAACATTTTTTTTGGGTGTGTGTAGAGAAAGGGTCCAGTTCAAAGCCGGCGTAACACGGATGGTGACTTTTTTTGAAGGTCCATTTTTTTACGGGGGTGGGGGCGGAGGGATGGGAGTACTGAAATCTATTGCCCCCAAATAACGCATCCTCATTGGTTCCAAGACGTTGAAAGTGAGATCATTCATTTTTGGGGGAGACACTTTGCTTTGCTGGGGTCTAATGGAAACGTTACATGAGCGTGAAGTGATTGTGATAGCAGCTAATGCCTTTCGATTATTCTCGATTTCTTAATCACTCCGTGTCGCATCCTCTGAGCCGCCTGTGTAAATTATCGGCTTGGCCTGCACGGTGAGCAGTGCTCTAACGTATCCAAGTGGGATGCTCAAATCTCCATCGACAAATGAGTCTCGGTGGACATAGCCGATTGGCGGCAATGATCACGAGAAGATGCAACTTTTAAAGGAACAAATCAGCCTTTTTCTTTTCCTTTTATTTCCTTTTAGTTTATGCCCATGTATGTTTGTAATATTCCACGCATTACTGCGACCTGAACATTTTCAACCGAAATAAATAGATGTGGATGGGGGTGAAAGTAATTAAAAAAAGTCAAACCTTCAAACCATATGGCATATTTATGTGTATATTTCACAAACCGTTGGTACATATTTGAATGAATTTATCGTACATAGACTGAATGAAAATTCTAAGGAGAGTCTTGTTGATACGGTTGTATTGAAAATGCTCTGAATTTTATTATTCATTTGTTTCATAACGCCGATATTTTCTCTCTGTGAAATACAATCAGTTCAAGGAATTTCATGATTATCAAGTTATTATCATTTCATACGCGATTATTGAAAAACAAACAAACTAGGGACATACATTAAAATGTCTCGAAGAATTAAATTCTCTTCGAGGCCCCTACAGACCCTCACTTTTAGGGCCTACTAATTATATGACTGAAGACGAGGTGTTTTGGCATAATATAGACGAATAATAGTCAGCTTGATCTTCTTTTCAACAGTCGCAAAATGTACTAAGTGTGAGGTAGAAAATTTAAAGGATTTATAAATGGAGATAAGTTGGTCCCGAAGTATGGTAAAACGGTCGACGCCCCCATCATGTGGATAAAAAAAGCTTCAATCCTTTTTACGGTTTTAACTTTATAGAAAACGGGTACAGAATTATTAAAACAAATATAAAGATTAAGAAAGAGCAAAATGTTTTTTTCTAATAAATGAAATAACAAGAAGAATGGTCCAGACGTGTCTTATGAACCTGTCATTACTATACTAAGGGCGAAGGTGACACCGCCGATTCAGATTATCTGCCAGGCAATTATCATTTTTTCTTCAATTTTACAAGTAAAAAAAATAAATTTAAAAAATCGTGCTTGTATTTTAGGGGGCAAACTCTTTTGAAATTCGGCCCAAATGACACTCCTTCCCCACCACAACACTCACCCATAATTTATTGATCATGGCTTTTATACCGTCGCCTTTGAATAGTATGAAAATGAAATGAATTGAGTATATAGTGTTTTTTTTAATGGAAGATCTTGGCCGGAAATCTTGAGAATGGAAGGAAGCAGGTATTACCTAGATTTTTGATCGGATGAAAAGATTTCCGGATAAGATAATAAATATATATTCTTTCTTATCCGAACGTTAACTTGGTTACCTATTAATCTTTTTTTCTCGATTCTATGCAAAGACTCTTCATTCATTTGTTCATAAATGGGTCCTATTTTTTTATTTTTTTATTATTAAACTTTGAAAGATAGATATCATTAAAGGTAATTGACTATTAAAGACAAATGAAATCATGTTCATCTACCTTTTGTAGTTATATTCATTAAAAGTTTCACAGCATTTATATGGCGCCATTTTCCGTTTTAAAAAACATTCAAAGGCACAGGCTGCTCTGATAAAGGCATAAAATACAAACCTTTTATCTAATACACATCTCTAACTCTGCGAACAGAAGCAGTTATTTCACAAGCTGACACCTCTATTCCAAAATTGGTATCAATATTCCATGTATGTCTAATTGATTATAATTTCCCCCTCTTTTTCAGGAACAAACGATTCAAGAACGAACGGTGACTATGGCGACACGAACCACCTCGGCGCGGGAAACCTCAACAGACAGTCAGATGTTACAAGCCCCAACCCCAAGCGGAAGAACTCGGTCAGCGACCGTTCGCATACAGGCGAGTCGTCCCCTATGACCTACGGCAGCGATGGCAGTCCGAGTAGCGGGAGTGGAATCGGGGGAGACGGCCGACGGGAGAGTTCGGGGGAGCAGGAAATGCAGGCGCTGAAGAAGAGAAGGGAGGCGGATGAGAAGCCGATGAGTGCTAAAGTTGCTGGGGTCGAAGTGAGGTTGGAGATGAAAGCACTATGGGACGAGTTTCACTCCCTGGGCACAGAAATGATTGTCACAAAAGCCGGCAGGTGAGACGATGATAATGTTTGTCTATTCATTTATTATGGCATCATTGCAAAACATCCTTGTTGTCAAATAGATCTATAATTTTTGTCTCATACCAATAAACCGAAATAAGATAAGTACAGGAATACAGTTCTGAAAACAAACGATGTTTCTGGACATCACATGAAACATAATGCCATTAGTTATTTGTTCTTGAACCGGTTTATGAGTTACAAACAAAATATATTAAGGAAAGCCAGATTTTGAATACATATCGAATTCTAAATTTATAAGACAGTACACACACACACACCTAGACTATATTGTAGCCTAATGACAGAGAGAGAGAGAGAGAGAGAGAGAAAAGAAAAACAATACCGATCAAATTTATCGATTTCGAGGGATCAGACAGGGGCTGTCCTATGCGATGAAGGCTCCCATTTTTAGTAACCAAGTGAATTGAATTACACACGAGATTGAATTGTATTGTATGAAATCAGAATTGGCTTGTAGTTTTTACCATGGTTCAGGTAAAATAGAATAGTTTATTGAGACCGGTGGTATGTTAGGATCCTCATTCAAATATTTCGATAGCAGTACATGATAAAAGAACACAAATTATTTACAAGGGGAAGATGATCAATACGGGCTTTTCTGCTCTGAAACATCTAGAATTATGAATTGATTGATTGATTGAAAATGTTTTATTATAATTGCACTTCGCAGCCGAATTAGATGGCTGAAATATGTACAATTTACATTGGCAATAAAACATACAAATATGGTTTGATATTCTCACAATATATATGAAATCAAAAATATGTATACTCTAGATTTGATGATTATAACGCTCGGTCGATAACGCGATGACGTTGGCGGTGCTACTTAAAAGCAATTTTTCACATTTTCAAGAAGTTGAATTGTTAAGCTTTTGATAATAAGGTAGTCAGAGTACCTTTTTATATTACCTTAATCGTTAAATACATTGCTTTTGATATTGTTTTTGCTAAAATCAAAAAGAAAAACAGCGCTGTTCCGAGGGTGTGATTCATTCACAATATAATTATGCTTCAAGATGGAGACATTATATAACATCAGATTAGAAAAGGGAAAGGGAGATAGAAAGAGAGAGAGAGAGAGAGAGAGAGAGTCTGAAGAACAGGGAGAAAATAAGAACTAGTAAGTTATCTGAAGATGGGCATCATTTGCTGCATTGCCATATAAAAACAAAGTTATAACCATGAAAGAGACAAACCTTTAACTCTGTGACGTATAATTGTTTTAATATTCAGAATGACGTACTATAGAAGAGGAATATTGGAGCTATTGCATTATTAATGTGATTGATTGATGCAAAATACAATCCTTCACTCCATTACTGAATTTTATATTACTAAATTGAAATACACGTTCGGTGGAGAGGGATGCCTTCTACAGTCTGCGTCCAGTGTAGCAATGGTTTAACAGTGATGTTGATCCATAGAAGTTTCACACTTTCACGTCGGATGAAACACAATTCTGATACATAATTACGAAGATAAACTACTGGAACTAAATGAAAAAAACGTGGGATGTACCATAAGTGAAGGATATCTGATGTACAATGTTTGTTCCATGACGTGATGACTAACAGTGGCGATGCCTTTCAAAAGAATTGTTGCACGATATCTTGGCTAGCGTTTGGTATAGGGTATTTAGGTATTGACATTCTTCTTGCATAATTGCTTCAACCGATGTTACCATTACCATAAGTCCTCAACATATCTACATTACGCATGGTTTTGCATTTGCTTTCATAATACAATGCCAAAACGGCATTGTTTTGTGAGGGTGTTCCTTCACTGCACAACCATGATGGAACGAATACATGTAGAGTTCCATGATATAATACACGTTCGAAGAAGAGAGGGCCGGGGGATGCCTTCTTGCACAGCAGCATCCAATGTGTTTGTTCCAATCCTCAGAATTCCGAGCGCGTCTTGACCGAGTTCTTACGGTCTCTCAGGAGGCATTATCACCCGCTTGAAGAAGTGTTTTGATCCAAACACATGGCCAGAATAAGTCCCCCTACATGTTGTCCACATCTTGCTGTAGATTGGTGTCCCCGATATTGTTACATACGTACTACGGAAGAAAATGTATTTAATATTACGAGGGTCAATATTTTACTTTAGCCTGTGATTGTGATTGTGGCATTCCCTGAAATTGGAATGAATATATTGCTCCGTATGTAGTTCGCTTATACTGTTTTCACACTGGCAAAATTTTGCTTAACCCCGTACTATAGGTGGGGTTAAGGGGGGGGGTCTTAGCCCCACCTATAGTACGGGGTTAAGCCTATTCCACTTTCTGTTCAGACTGGTTTTTACCAAAGTGGGCTAAAGTTGGCTAACCCCACCTATAGTACGGGGTTAACTAACCCTGCAAAATAGCAGGGCTAACTCCGCAATTGTGGTGCTAACTCCTGCTAACCCGCAATTGCGGTGCTAAGCAAATGAATGAGAACAGAAACGAAAAATAGTCCGGTACTACGCAATGGAGCGTATCGCAGCTGGCCAGATGCGAAGTATGTCCTATCATAACATACACGATATCCGGGGTTAACGAAATGCAGTGAGAACAGCGGGAATTTTCTTATTCCGGAATAGGCGCTAGTACGGGACTAAAAACAGCGAGTGTGAAAAGCCAAAAAAATAGTCCGGGGTTAAGGATAGTACGGGGCTAAGCAAAGTACGGGGTTAAGCAAAACCAGTGTGAAAAGAGTATTAGCTTTTATACTTGTATTACGCAGATATATTCCTTTCACAAATTACAAGGATTACTTGAGAAAAAAATTACCCAATGAATTGTTATAATCTTCCATGATAATGGGTAGAAGACGTAGGCCTGTACGTATGAATGGTTCATCATTTATCTCCTTTACTTGGTAAAACACAGAACCACACTCATATCATCATATTATTTTTTGTTGTGTTGGTGGGGGGGGGGGGGGGGGGGGGGGGGGGGGGGGGGTAAGGGTAAGACTATCAAGAATCTGAATAGTTCCCCCAAAGTAGGTAATATTTTGTCAGTGTGGGATTATCCATACCTACACTGGTAGGTATGATGGTAATGTTACATCAAGCATGTAAAGCAAGAAATGTCCCCACATGTCTGGCGTAACGGAATACCGAATAATCATTCCTTTTAAGTAAGCCGACAAGTGGAGGTATTCCGCTCGCGACCTGATATTTTTAAGTACGATGGAAAAAGCCTGATTCTCACCATATCGTATGAATGTTTAACATTTTATTCTTTATTTTATAACGATAAAAACGACTTTATGGCCCGAATTCACAAAGGAGGTTTGTCGACAAACCTTGGTTTTTGTACGTCATATGACGCGTTTTACGCGTTTTTTTACAAACCTGGTTGGTAAAGAACAAAAGGAGGTTTGGCGAAACAAAAGGAGGTTTGAGCTCAAACCTTGGTCTGAGCTCAAACCTTGCTTTGTGAATTCGGGCCTATATGTTCGATGAGACGGTACGATACGACACACCATCGGGGAAGGGTGACGAGTTTGGATCGAAAAAAAATTATTATAATTATGAAAGTTGTAGTGGGTATTTATGAAAGTTGTAGTGGGTATTTATGATTGCTACTGCACGTGATGGATCATTTTACCCCAATATACATGTAAGTTTACCAATTAAATTATGATCCCCACAATTTATCATGGTCAAATGCAATAACCCTTTAACTGAACTTCGTCGGACTCTCTCTTTTATGAACTCGAGACAATCGACCTTCTCTGACATGGTTTCTATCCGGTGCGAATCTATGCCACAGACACACCGCACATTCTCCTCAAAAGCTCTCATAATATTTTTCCTCTTAGTCCCATGCGCTCAGATTTCACGCGGGCAATTTTCCCTTCTGTTCCGCTTTGCTTTGGCCCCATATATTGAATATCAGCGCCGCTGTCTTCTCGATACTCGCAAGGATGCAATGAAAGTGTAACTAGAGGCATTTCCATTTCGTCCCATAAACTAGTCTTCAATGGGGAAGTTAACCCGGTATGTCTGTTCTGATTTATTGTTATAATCAGCCCTACTGGACTCTAAATCAGTGACCAATTCAGTCCCATTCCAGATAGGTGTCTTTGCCGGGTTGGATGACGATCACGAGACTAAAGAAAAAAGCCCGGCCAAAATGGACTCTCATTTTTGCAATTATATGTATGTGTACCTGCCTACCTGGACTATCACTATTTTTGTTTAAAAAAATATTAGAAAATTTAAGACCATGCCTTCATTCAAAATATATGTATAAATTTCCTTGTATTGGGCAGGTACCAACAGGTAATGGAGGTGAGGCAATCACAGTTCAGTGTTCTAATGTCTTCCCCCAGCTTTTACTTGTAGCAACTGACAGAGATTTTTGTCCCATGTTTGCTGTCCAAAACTTTGGAACAAAGGGGAGATAGATTATTATGGTATGGAACCCAACCTCCCCATTAAACAACAAAATAATGAGAACAATATTTTAAAAATGTAATTCTCAAGCATATCTAAGATTTAATGAGAATAACAAATGCATGCCAAGAAGTGACCTCTCTTTATTATGAAGACAGTTGAGGTACGACTAGAATAAAGACAGGATGTGGTCAAGTGGATACTTTTGAGAAGCGATTTGAGGAGCATACGGTCTCTGTCCATCCATTATACTCTCACTTCATTCTACCTACACTCACTAAATCTAAGTCTCAATAAAATATAAAAATCATAGCGAGAGGATGTATTTTCCCTGAAGCAAGTGAAGGTAAAGGCTGGATGTGGAGACTATGGAAAGCTATTTGAGGAGCTAGCATACGGTCCTTGCCCATCACACCATATTTACTTTGCCATCAGTCCGTGGATTACGGAGATGTGGGGAAGAAAATGCTCCTCTACCTTCTCGGTTTCGTCGTCGTAGGAAGGTACATGGTGGAGAGAGGTTTCATTGGGGGAGGGTGGGGGCGGGGGCAGGGAGGGTAGAGCTACAT